CATCGAATTATTCTCAATTTTGCGCGAGAAGATCTAGATATACTTTTTGCTGCTTCATATTCCTGGGCTGTAATAAGTGTCTCACTCAATGTCTTGTGGTGTTGTAGCCAAAGAGCCTGCTGCATTTCGACGTCCTGTAGTTGATCAATGAATGCGTGCATGCCGATTTGTTCTAAGAAATCTTTAGGTGCCTGTGGATAGGCCAGATGCAGCAATATTTTAATATCGGCTTCAAATTCTTGTAGACTTTCATTGTGTTTCTGACTACGAACTTTTAGCTGGCTTTAAAATACCCGTTTCAAATGCCGCTGGCCATATCTTGTCTCCAAAGCTTGGACTAGAGACGAATAACTGGGTTCCTCTTGAGGAAGTAACTGTAACACGGTTGCTGCCTGACCTCGCAGTGACACTATCAATGAAATCGCCATCTCTTTTTCAGTCCAGCCATTGGCTCTAGCTGCAGCCTCAAATTGGAGTCGATATGTTTCCCATGTTGTCTGACCATCAAACTTGGGTGGCTTAAGGGTCTTGCTAGTATAGTTTTGTGAAACTGGGAATCGAATGTGGCTTGGTTCGGTTATGGATGAAAACGACATAGTGTTTTCAGCTTCAATGTTGCTTACCGAAGCTTGGCTACTAATTTTTCTTTCTAATTTTACCATTTCAGCTCTAATTTGCCTTTCTAACTCTACTCTTGCATTTTCCTGTTGTTATTCCAAATTGATTTTTAAATGCTGTTGCTGCTGTTCTAAATGAGTAAGATGCTCTTGTTGTTGTTCCAAATTAGTTTTAGATTCTTTTTTTGCTGTTCCAAATTTATTTTTAAATTCTCTAAAGTAGCATTTAAGTTTTCTTGCTGCTGCTCTTGTTGTTGTGCTAGGAGATTTACTTGACTATTTAGCTGATCTACCTCTTGCATGAAGTTTTCTTGAATTTGTATTAAGCCATTTATAATCTCTACCTCCGCTTTTTTATGCTTTTCCTCTTCCTCCTCTTCTCGTTTTTCCCATTTCTCCTCTTCTTCCTTCCTACGCCTTTCCTTTTCCTCTTCTCGCCTTACCCTTTCCTCCTCTTCTTCCTTTCTACGCCTTTCTTTTTCCTCTTCCATTTTTAAAAACCATGCTGGTGGGCCTAAAGTATCCATGTCTGCTTCGTACTCAGTGGAACCAGTATTTACCATGTACTTCGACTTGTTATCCCATCGCTGTCACCAATGTTACACAGGTTTTTGGTATCGCAATTTATTTCAACTCAACAATTATACAACTGATAACATTAACAAGTAACGTCTATCATAAAACTGAAAACTGACGTCAGGGTCATCCTTATATAGCTTCCTTGACCCTTCTCGAACCTTCTCGAACTGTCGTCTAGATTATTATTGACGGGTGATGACATTTCCAGACATTTCTGGACTATTCTATCGTCTTGAACTTGCACTTTTACTTATGACGACCACAGCACAATGTAGGGTGATGAGTAACATTCCACTTCTTTTTCTATCTGTACGTTTCCTATAATAACGCAGGCTACTGCAGGGTGCTGCGTAACAATATGATCGGTTGATTTAATAGGACATTCTTAGAAGTTACTAAAACACATATACCAAGCATGTATCTCAAAAACACGTTTATATACCTATATGAATTTTTCCCTGCCTCATTTAGCTGATCTGATAATACGGTAGCCAACGCACTAATGTTTATAAATACAAACTTTATAAATAAGTACAATGTTTTAAAGCACAAAATTTGCAAATATAATATTTTTGAATACAAAGTTCAAAAGCACGAAGTATACAAATACAAAGTCAATAAACAAAAAAACATAAAACACAAAATTATAAAAGAACAGAATCGATTGATTCCTTTCACTTAATCTAGAAATTGTTTTAAAATATTTAATATTGCTGACTTAAACACATATATTTTCTCTAGATACTTACGTGGAAATAATTATTTATCCATGTAGGATTTTCATAATCTAAATAGGTTTTATCTGAAACACTTATTTTAAAGTTTCCGAATTTGTAGCCGGCTGTTGGCACAATTATGTACGCCACAGTATAATCAAAATCACCTTCTGGAACCAGTTGCACCTCAAATTGTGCATTTTCTCCCTACAAATAAAAACAAATTATTTAACTGATAGTTGAAAAAAAAAAATGAAAAACTTAGTAAAGTGATCACAGTTGTAGAAATCAACAACGAACAACTACTAGACTAGTTTTGTTTACAAAAACGTAGATGCCAAATTAGTATAGGAGAGTATGAAAAAGTCTTGTTACAAGGATTGTTCATGATTTTAATTCGAAATTGACTTAACAAAAGGCTCTAAAATGCACAGAAAACTTAAAATTACATTACAGCTTCCAATGTCAGTTATTAACTATTTAATCCATTTTTCAGATGGCATCTATTATTGTAGCTGAAAGTAATTAACAGGAAAATTTTATGTAAACATCCTTTAACCAATCAAATAAAGTTATTTTCCATCGTTACTATGACAAAAAGGAAGATTTCCGAAATTCCTCTTTTTAGTCCAATCAAGAGATTTTTGAATCTAAGTTTTGGAGGAAATATAGAAATTTTTGAAATCTTTCTTTTTGTCATAATAACGATGGAAAATAACTTTATTGGATTGGTTAAAGGATGTTTATATAAAATTTTCCTGTTAATTACTTTCAGCTACAATAATAAATGCCATCAGAAAAATAGATTAAATAGTTAATAACTGACATAAGGAGCTGAAATATGTAATGTAATTTTAACAGTTTTCTGTGCATTATAGAGCCTTATGAAATAAAAATAAATAAAAATAAATAAAAATAAATAAAAATAAATAAAAATAAATAAAAATAATAAAAATAAATAAAAATAAATAAAAATAAATAAAAATAAATAAAAATAAATAAAAATAAATAAAAATAAATAAAAATAATAAAAATAAATAAAAATAAATAAAAATAAATAAAAATAAATAAAAATAAATAAAAATAAATAAAAATAAATAAAAATAAATAAAAATAAATAAAAATAAATAAAAATAAATAAAAATAAATAAAAATAAATAAAAATAAATAAAAATAAATAAAAATAAATAAAAATAAATAAAAATAAATAAAAATAAATAAAAATAAATAAAAATAAATAAAAATAAATAAAAATAAATAAAAATAAATAAAAATAAATAAAAATAAATAAAAATAAATAAAAATAAATAAAAATAAATAAAAATAAATAAAAATAAATAAAAATAAATAAAAATAAATAAAAATAAATAAAAATAAATAAAAATAAATAAAAATAAATAAAAATAAATAAAAATAAATAAAAATAAATAAAAATAAATAAAAATAAATAAAAATAAATAAAAATAAATAAAAATAAATAAAAATAAATAAAAATAAATAAAAATAAATAAAAATAAATAAAAATAAATAAAAATAAATAAAAATAAATAAAAATAAATAAAAATAAATAAAAATAAATAAAAATAAATAAAAATAAATAAAAATAAATAAAAATAAATAAAAATAAATAAAAATAAATAAAAATAAATAAAAATAAATAAAAATAAATAAAAATAAATAAAAATAATAAATAAAAATAATAAATAAAAATAATAAATAAAATAATAATAAAAATAATAAATAAAAATAATAAATAAAAATAAATAAAAATAAATAAAAATAAATAAAATAAATAAAATAAATAAAAATAAATAAAAATAAATAAAAATAAATAAAAATAAATAAAAATAAATAAAAATAAATAAAAATAAATAAAAATAAATAAAAATAAATAAAAATAAATAAAAATAAATAAAAATAAATAAAAATAAATAAAAATAAATAAAAATAAATAAAAATAAATAAAAATAAATAAAAATAAATAAAAATAAATAAAAATAAATAAAAATAAATAAAAATAAATAAAAATAAATAAAAATAAATAAAAATAAATAAAAATAAATAAAAATAAATAAAAATAAATAAAAATAAATAAAAATAAATAAAAATAAATAAAAATAAATAAAAATAAATAAAAATAAATAAAAATAAATAAAAATAAATAAAAATAAATAAAAATAAATAAAAATAAATAAAAATAAATAAAAATAAATAAAAATAAATAAAAATAAATAAAAATAAATAAAAATAAATAAAAATAAATAAAAATAAATAAAAATAAATAAAAATAAATAAAAATAAATAAAAATAAATAAAAATAAATAAAAATAAATAAAAATAAATAAAAATAAATAAAAATAAATAAAAATAAATAAAAATAAATAAAAATAAATAAAAATAAATAAAAATAAATAAAAATAAATAAAAATAAATAAAAATAAATAAAAATAAATAAAAATAAATAAAAATAAATAAAAATAAATAAAAATAAATAAAAAATAAATAAAAATAAATAAAAATAAATAAAAATAAATAAAAATAAATAAAAATAAATAAAAATAAATAAAAATAAATAAAAATAAATAAAAATAAATAAAAATAAATAAAAATAAATAAAAATAAATAAAAATAAATAAAAATAAATAAAAATAAATAAAAATAAATAAAAATAAATAAAAATAAATAAAAATAAATAAAAATAAATAAAAATAAATAAAAATAAATAAAAATAAATAAAAATAAATAAAAATAAATAAAAATAAATAAAAATAAATAAAAATAAATAAAAATAAATAAAAATAAATAAAAATAAATAAAAATAAATAAAATAAATAAAAATAAATAAAAATAAATAAAAATAAATAAAAATAAATAAAAATAAATAAAAATAAATAAAAAAAATAAATAAAAATAAATAAAAATAAATAAAAATAAATAAAAATAAATAAAAATAAATAAAAATAAATAAAAATAAATAAAAATAAATAAAAATAAATAAAAATAAATAAAAATAAATAAAAATAAATAAAAATAAATAAAAATAAATAAAAATAAATAAAAATAAATAAAAATAAATAAAAATATATAAAAATAAATAAAAATAAATAAAAATATATAAAAATAAATAAAAATAAATAAAAATAAATAAAAATAAATAAAAATAAATAAAAATAAATAAAAATAAATAAAAATAAATAAAAATAAATAACAATAAATAAAAATAAATAAAAATAAATAAAAATAAATAAAAATAAATAAAAATAAATAAAAATTAATAAAAATTAATAAAAATAAATAAAAATAAATAAAAATAAATAAAAATAAATAAAAATAAATAAAAATAAATAAAAATAAATAAAAATAAATAAAAATAAATAAAAATAAATAAATTAAATAAAAATAAATAAAAATAAATAAAAATAAATAAAAATAAATAAAAATAAATAAAAATAAATAAAAATAAATAAAAATAAATAAAAATAAATAAAAATAAATAAAAATAAATAAAAATAAATAAAAATAAATAAAAATAAATAAAAATAAATAAAAATAAATAAAAATAAATAAAAATAAATAAAAATAAATAAAAATAAATAAAAATAAATAAAAATAAATAAAAATAAATAAAAATAAATAAAAATAAATAAAAATAAATAAAAATAAATAAAAATAAATAAAAATAAATAAAAATAAATAAAAATAAATAAAAATAAATAAAAATAAATAACTAAAAATAAATAAAAATAAATAAAAATATATAAAAATAAATAAATAAAAATAAAATAAATAAATAAAAATAAAATAAATAAATAAAAATTAAATAAATAAAAATAAAATAAATAAATAAAAATAAAATAAATAAAAATAAATAATAATTATTTTTCGGCTTTAGGGGTTAAAATTTACTTATAATTGGATGAATTAGGGAGAATATTATAATTATTAATTTTTTTTAATACTAAACTGACTGTGTCATCCATTATAAATTAATATGATAATAAAAAAAAAGTGGATTATTGAAACATACTTCATTATATATTTTCTGAATACCTAAGTTATTTTAAGAAAACTGTTTTAATATAGATCACATTTTACTTTATAAGTAATTTAATCAATGATCTGTGGTTTATCTAATAAGAATTGTAAGGTATTGTGCCCATTTAGGAAAAGTTGGACAAATTAAATATGTTATTGCTTTAGGTAACTGTAGAAATAAGCACCAACTTAGGAGTACAAAGGCGTTTAGCTTTCTTTCGTAAACCGAACTAATTCAATTTCCAATCAACATAATTAAATCTAGATTGAGACGCGAAGACCGTCGCTGTTCCTTGTTTACTCCTTGCCCGCGGTGTGAATAAATAAATTAGATATGTGTGTTAGTGCCTAAGTATTATATAAATTAATTAGTAAGTTATAAATAAATAATAAATACTGTATTTTAAATAAATAAACTATAAATAAATTAAACAAACGTTACAATATAATTAACTGAAAATGTGATGCCTTTCCTACAAATGGATTTTTAGTATAGATATTTACTACTTATAGACTAAGTTTAAAAAAAAACAAGTAAATCAAAAAACGAAAATAAAATGGAAGAAAACTCCTTTCATCTTATTACTGAAAAATAAAATGTGCATTTTTTTCAATTAATTTTGTGTTGAGAATCTCATCAACAGCTGACGACACAATTCCTTAACTTGGTTAGACATATGAATTGTGGGTACCTACAACATTTTCGTTGTCGTTCACTTTCACAACGATGTCCGACATATCCGATTTCTTGATTTATTTTAAACAGAGTTGAAGGATCATAAACGTTTATGATTGCTTCTAAGTGAAATTTTTTATTCTTAGGTTTACACGAGGGGCAAACCACTAACCTAAATTTTGTACACCTACATCTACAATTTATTGCAACTTAAACAATAATTATACAACTGATAACATTAACGTATAACGTCTATCATAAAACTCCTATATGACGTCAGGTCGCCGACTTATATAGCTCGCCTCAACCTTCTAGAACCTTCTCGAACAATCCGGATTTTTCTTTAACAAGGAATGATATTTCGAGACATTTCTGGACCATTCTCTTATTCATACCTACTTTAACTTATAACGCCTGCAGCACGCTGCAGGGTGCTGCCTCCCTCCTCTCTAGTTATTCGCCCCTAATAACTTGATTACTGGGACCCGGTTACAGC